TGATGATGAGGGGAATTTGGAGGATCGAGAGAAGAAGGGTAAGAGGAGGATTACGAGGAAGAGAGGAGGGTACAAGGATGTCTCATTCCCTATAGCCCGAAGTTTCATGTGAATACAACTTCTGAGGCGGCTGCTTACGAGAACTGTGTTATCCTCCTTGTCAGTTAGGAGAGGTTGCTGTAACTAAAGCGATCTCAGCGACACTCGCAGATCAACTAAAGTCACTGGTGCAGGCATCCAGGCCTTCGCATTCGCTTTAGTTAAACAGAATGCTAGCGTGTGATTGGAGGGACCTAAGCCCCCCCCCCCGTTTAGGCGGTTCTCTTGCATCCTGACGGACGTCTTCAGTCCGCCACCTGTGGCGCCGGACAACAATTAAGTCGCAGCCACGTGGGGGCACTCAAGTTGCCAGCGGGAGGCCCAAAATACAATAAAAATGAGAACTATTTATAAGATTCCTGCCTTCCACACCCCAAGCACTCTCGGTTATCAACTATTTAGACTCGGGCCGTGTATACATCGGTCTCGCACCGACTCACGACTTATTTGAGCTAGTCCATGGACGTGTCATACGCTGAGTGGTGGTAGAGGGGGTTTTACGCGCACGACGGAGACCAAGAAAACGGAGATAAATTTCTGCGGAAAGTCCTATCGTGCGCTGTCACTTAACGGAGAACGTGAGCGCGATAATTAAAAAATACACAAAAAGCAATTTTCAAAACCTAACGAACTTTGAATAAAGCGTCGCTAGGAAATGGACATTTAGTCAGGAAAGGGAGGAAATCTCAAACAATGGGAAGGGTGAATAAGAAGTGATGTTTACACTCACAATTTAGGGTTCATTTTCGTAGTTGCCATCTACTTGTGGGTGCTAAACCCTATCGTCACCGCACCAGCTTGTCGGTAGTCGGAAGTAAGTCACCAACTGGAGATGACGCTATGAGTGGAGACGTATTAGTGGTGGAGGGGCGCTCACTGATCGTTTCTACGGAACTCACTCGTCCCGTTGTGCCTTAGGGCTCTCTCTCGAGCCCAACCAGCAGATAATACCACTCTGTCTATATCATGCGCCGCTGTGCGGCTGCTAGTTGGGCTCGAGAGAGAACCCTAAGGTACAACTGGACGTGTGAGTTCCGTAGCAACTATCGGTGAGCGCCCCTCCACCATTGTACATTCCCGATCGAAACCGATAAGACAACGAGTCCGTGGCTCAGTGGTTAGGGGCGTTGGACTCCTAGCTAACAGGTGGCGAGTTCGAGTCCCAGATGTTCCGCACTTCGAGGTTGGGTATGACTGGCTGACAACGGCAACTAAGCCAGAATTGGCCATCCGGACGTTGTAATGTTAGATTTCTTTATAACCTGAGATTTGTTAATTCTGTATTCGAACGAAAAGCCCATGCATAGCCTAAACAAAGTGATGGACAGGATTTCGCCCGTAAACTTAAAAGATCCCACCTTACTTGAGTTCCTTATATCAATTAATAGCGTATGAAGCAAACATTCAACGAACGCCGACGAAGGGGTGATTGCATTCAGCTTGGGTCGAGGTGACCTGCTTTCAGCGAGACAAGAGCAAGGGGGCTGTGCAAGTCCCCAGTGATAATACTTGAAATTACTAATTGTAGCTTTTTAACTCCCTTGTAAATTAACTCCGAACTTGGAGTAAACCAGTATATTTAAGGTCTATAGGCCCAGACCTAAGTTTTTATGCATGAATATTTGGGCCGAAGTTCATCAGCCACAGCGGATAATCGCGTAATCTTTATTTACTGGCGACAGGCAGCTAGTAGTATATTTTAGGGCAAGATGCAAACAGATGAAAATCGCTGAACCCCTTTGAATAGGCAGAGTCTTTGGGCTTGTGCGGGAGCTTAGGCTCCGAGACAAAAGTCTCACGGCTTGAAATTAGCATGCGAGCTCGGCTGACAGCAAGGTTGCACTATATTGGCAGTAAAATCTCAAAGTATTGTCGGTGGGAGGCTGATTCGCATGTAACGGAACGTATAGGCGAAGAGCTAAGTGAATATATCGCCATTAACAAAGGGCAGCAGCCTACAAGGGGTTATTGCAAATAAAAGACCAGCTGAAATTAAGTTGGTAATCAGATTCTAGGCCACATCTGTCATTGCAATCACTCAGATCCAACGACAGAGAGGTGCGAATTTCGAAATAGCTGCAAAAAACTGATGGTGCGCGGGTCTGTAGCTCGACTCACAGTTCCACAAACTTGCATCAGTTGGCCTGTCAGTGTGTCTGATCGACGTGGTCTCAGGTGCTGTCCGATAGTCAGCCTGTTTGGTGTTAGAAAGTGCGTGCTGGTTTGAATGCCGCCGTTGTTGAAGGCGCAACGACAACAACAACTGATTTAGTTGTTATGACCTCAGCGCCGTGTCGCCAACCTGCGGTTATCACATGTCTCATCACAAGTAGTCTAGTGGGGGCCCCTAGGCTGACGTGGCGCCCAGCAACTGTCTTTGGGTCGCGTGTGTCCGAATCTGGTGGGGGAGGCGCATGTTCGGTGGCAGGACGCCCCGCTACGCTCCGCGGGCCTGGGCTGACTCACTTTCATGTGTCTCCCGGTTGAATCTCTTGCACAGCGAAATATCTAGCCTATACTTGCTACCACTCGCGTCGTTGGTTGGACGTCCAATGGCACGTTTTGTTCAGCTTCAGTTCCCGATCAGTAACTTTATTATTTTGACTACAACGGCATAAAATGCCGTCTTTCCCTTAGGATTGGCCTGTGGTTGCCTCAATTCGCTTAAATCACTGAAGCAACCTGTTCTCTAACATAGCTCTCTACTCTACTATATGGATCTGTCTTCTCCTTCCCCTCCTCCTCCTCCTCCTCCTCCTCCTCCTCCTCCTCCTTCTCTTCTTCTTCTTCTTCTTCTTCTTCTTCTTGGAACTCTGTCGCCCTGTACTCATAACCCAGCATGGAAGAAATAGAGCTCATAGATAGCATCAACATGTCAGTCCTTTTCCGATTCGAGTAATGATAACGGACAGAAAAATGTCTACCCGCGTAATTTTCGCCCTTTTCGTAACAGAAACCCAAACGCAACATCAAGTAGCAACTAGGACAAGCACTTCATGTGGGAAAGTTCCGCCCGAAATTCAGTAACTGTTCAGTAACCGTCCGTTCAGTAACCATTCAGTAACCGTCCGATTTGATGTCCCGAATCGCAAGACAAACACGCGTGTTTCGCCGATATTCTGTCGCTGTATGGCACAGTTGCGAGGGCTTCGACTCTTCACCCCAACCTTCTGCATGTGCTTTCTGTAGATACTCAAGTTGAGAAATTGTTGCTTTTTAATTTCCTCAGAAAGTAACTGCGAACTTGGAGTAGGCCAAGAAGGTCTATTGATGCAGGTCCATATCGAGTATCTCTGCTGCTAATATGGTATTTTATACAGGCTTATACAGGCCAGAATTTCCTTGTAGCTCTCGCATACTTTCGTGATATTTCTTTACCACTGATTGCTCCTCCTCGTTCCTCCGCCTGCAAAAGTTCCAGGTTGCGTCTAGAGGCACACCTTAACTAGCTTGGGTCCTTCTGTAACTGGATCAATAAGAGGCACTGTTATGTGATCTAGCCTTAGGTTTTGCGAGGACGAATTTAAGTGGGAATTTTCCACCCAAAACAGCCGAAAGATACCAACTTTGCATTATTTCTGTATGGGAGATCTAACTCACCATCCGCAATCATGGAACACCTATCGGAGTAATATAACGCTTTAAAGTACGCATTAAGAGGGGTCATTGTGGTTGACTGAACGGGTTCTCCTAGAAAGCTGTCACGTTATGTTTTTCTGTGTGGCTAAACTATTTGCAGTTTGTTTTTATAAGAGTTTTCGGTATGTATGTCTGATTTATCCCACCCAGCCCCGACTGAAAGCCTTGAGTTTTTTAAACTTAGGGTTAGGTTGTTCGTCCGACCTTCAGGGTGGGACTTCAGAAGACATACGGTTAGGACGCTGACTGCACTCAAACCCCGTTCTCTCTGTCACTGGTTGAAGTCGTCGAGTTTTCCGCAAATCAGTCAGTTCAAATATGTATGATTTACTTAGCAGAGCAGTTATGAATGCCGGTCTAAGTTTTATTGCTTTACGCATCTACAGTGACTGTCTTTCAACTACCCCAGACAGGCAAGATTATAAGTTAACATGACCTCAGTCGGGTGTCACAGCATAATTATTCATCCGTAACTTTACGGCTGGCAAAAATCACAGATAACTTAATGGCATTTTTTCATCAATAGTTGGCCCCAGCTACGGCAGATCAGTGAAGCAAAGAATATGCACGGCCTCCTCCTTGACCTCCTCCTCCTCCTCC